CCTGTAATGGGGTATTTTTAAAAGACGTGCACATTTATTAATTTCAAAATCAAATAATGCACGTTTGGGTAGCTCTGATATTAGTTTTTTGAATTACTTCCTCGTTTAGTACTTTTAGGTTTTTTTATTCCTGCCCCTGAGGATTTAGGTGCTAGAAATAATCCTTTTCCTATCTTATATTTTCCTTGCCCATAGGGAGTTAAAAACAATCCTTTTCCCAACTTTACAGTTGTATTTTTAGAAGCCCTTAAATCATTAATAGTTTTAACAATATTACTCGCCCCGGAAGCTAATGATCCAACTGCAGTTAAACCAGCTATCAGAGGTAAAATGGGTAAAAACCCTCCAGATTTAGGAATAGATATTATTCTAGGTACTGTTTTATTTTTTTTATTTTTAACCACAACCTTTTTAGCTGCTACTATAGCGATTTTAGCCAATTTAACCATGTTTTTCTCTGTACTCTTTTTAACAGCTTTTTTTGCTGCGGATACAGCTTTTTTATAATGAATCCCCATGCCTAACTTCCGTTTAGCTTTTATAGCAGTAGTTACTAGCCAAGAAGCGGCTTTTTCTTTAAGTCCAACGTCTTTAGATTTAACTAACTCCCAAGCATTATCTTCTAATAATCTATCAGCCTTGTGCCTATCATTCAGAGAGTTACTATTATTGTATGCAATATCATGTTCTCGACAGAGTTCATCTAATTTATTCACACCTCTATCACCCCGTGCAAGCCTTTCTTTTAATTTAGTCCCAGGACCTGCGAATCTAATAAAAAAAAAAATATATTTATTAGTTTTAATCATTATTTTTATTATTTTTATTATTTTTTTCAATTACTTATATCCGGGCAAATGTAATTCAAATGGAAGATTATTTATAGCAGTGTTCAGTATACCACCACCTTTGTTGGTGTTGTTCTTTCGACGTGTAGACATCATATGAGCCATTACGTTTTTAACCAGATATATTTATACCGTTATGATTTTTTCACCACAAACTATTAAACTTTCAGTTTTAAACGCGGATCCTCCGGAGATGTATCAGACTAAGTCTAAAAATGGGTATTTATTACCAAATTCCGTACGCGCTTTAATTTTCGCCCCTTCTGGAGGGGGTAAAACCAACTGCGTATACTCTTTACTTACTAACATTAATGGGATTAAGTTTTAAAACATTTATTTATACTCGAAAACTGTAGATCAGCCAAAATATAAAATGTTAAAGGATATTATATCCGGTATTGATGGTATGAAGATGTTTACTTTTAACGAAAGCGATACTGTAATTCCTCCTGAGAAAGCTTTACCTGAAAGCACATTTATTTTTGATGACGTTTTAACAGAAAGTCAAGGTGTTATACGCGCTTATTTTGCTCGCGGTAGACATAACAAGTTGGATTTATTATATTGTGCACAAAGTTATTCATATTTAGATAAAAGAATTCTTCGTGATAATGCAAATTTTCTTGTGGTGTTCAAAATGGATCAGACCAACTTAAAACATATTTACAATGATCATGTAGCTACCGATATGTCATATAATCAATTTAACGAGTTTTGTACAACCTGTTGGAATCGTGAAAAATATAATTTTATAGTTATTAGCAAAGACGATGAGAGAGATAACGGACGGTATAGGCTCAATTTCGATACGTTTTTTACTATATAGAGTACAACTCGTATAACTATTTATTCATTTATCGATCAAACATGGCAGAGGAAAGTTACACTTTATTAAAAGAGTTAATACAGGCTAGAGAAAATATTAAACAAAAATTTAAAGATCTTAAACAAAATAATGCTAGAACCGATCATGTTATAAGGCAAAACCTAAATCCTATAATTGAACCTCTGCAAAAACTAACAGATATAAAATTAACTAAAATTAAATCAAAAGAAAACCTAGTAAATGAATCTATGCAAGCAGGTACAGAAGTCACCTCATCGACACAAGATCAAAACCCTGATGCGATAGACGTGGAAGACTTTATTAACAAACGCATAAGAACATGGTTAGAGTCTAGTAACTCGGATAAACTTTATGGACCTGTACAACATAAAAATGGTAAAATTACTCTCGGAGACTGTGCGTTAGTGTTTGAGGCTAAAGAAGAATCAGTTTATTTAGATAAAATATCATACCCCTTAACCACAGGTGTTTTGGAGTTAATGTTTTCAAAAAAACCTATGAACTATACTGAGACAGATTTAGGGAACTATAAAAGTATGTTAATAAAATCAAGTGTTCATCTGAATAAAAACAAAACACATATTCGCAAAGGAGGAAAAAAATATAATCTCATTGTTGGTTTATTCGCCAAAGGTGAAGGTCTTACTTTAACGCTAAGAAAAAACGTTAAGAAAGAACTAATTTTTTGGAAAAATCCAAACGATTTGTGTGAACGTTTAAAATTACTATTAGCTTCACAATCAGCAGGTAATACAGGTGTTTCGAATGAAATCACAATAATTTGGCAAGAGCTACTCAAGTCTAAGCTAATTAAACGAATTCCCGATGTCTAAACGGGAAATTGCTAACGAACAACACAGGCCTGCAAGAAGAAATTATATAAGAAGGAAGGTTGTATTATATGGAAAAAATGATTTGTTTCAAGCAGATTTATGTGAAATGGTACACTATGCGAACGTTAATAAGGGGTATAAATATTTACTCATAGTATTAGATTGTTATACTAAATACGCATACACAGCACCTTTAAAATCTAAAACCAGTAAAGAAGTAACATTAGCAATGGCTAAAATATTTAATATTCAATGTCCTAAACTCCTTCAGGTGGACAAAGGTTCAGAATTTTACTCAAAAACATTTGATGAATTAATTGAAAAATATAAAGTAAAACGATATTCTACCTTTTCGACTTTGAAAGCCAGCATAGTCGAAAGATTTAATAGAACGCTCAAAAATCTTATGTATAGAGAGTTCACAGCTAGGGGCTCATATAACTGGTTAGATATTCTACCATTAATAACCGAAAAATATAATCATACTATACACAGATCTATAGAATTAACACCTGCACAAGCTAATGCAAACCCTTCACTAGTTAAATTACGTGAACGTGTGATTCCATATAAAAAAATCATATTTAAAATTGGTGATAACGTCAGAATATCAATTTATAAAAGTTTCTTCCATAAAAAATACCTTCCGAATTGGTCTACTGAGGTGTTTTGTATTACTAAAGTCAACAAAACAGATCCCCCCACTTATTTACTTAAAGATTATAAAAATAATCCTATATCGGGTTGTTTCTACACCGAAGAATTGTCTAAAACCAACTATCCACATGACTACTTAGTGGAAAAAGTTGTTCGAACTAAAGGATCTAAATTGTATGTTAAATGGTTAGGATTTCCATCGACCGAAAATAGTTGGATAAATAGGACTGATATAAAGCAACCATAGCCAGTCATACGTTGACTATGAACGTGTTTGGAGAGACTGCTGATACATTTATAAACAATATAATTTCAACGCTTGACGGTAATAGCAAACTTATAAAAAATAACGATAATAAAATTTCAAGTATTACAAAACAGTTGTATGACATACAGAAAACAACATCAGATAACCTTGAAAAAATTAAATCTATAGAAACTACTATAGAAAAAATCAATGATGATAATGAAATTTTTAAGTATACAACTGATAAAACAATCGTAGAAATTCTTAATAGTGTTCAAGACCAAAACGATGTTCGAAAATTAGATGAACATATATTAGGCCGTATAAGTTCTTTAGAAGTGTTTCTCGCAGATAAATCAGGATTTAAGAAGCCGGCAAATTAGTTGATTTATTTTTTCATAATGACTTCTGCTATTTTGGATATGGAATGTATTATGTCACCAGACTCTAATTATTTAATAAAAGAATTATCTGTAATTGCAACTGACACATGGAATACACAACATTAGATATTTAAGTACAACTTTACACAAACTTCAAACAAAAACACTCGAAACGTTAACAGGTGGCTAGCTAGAAACCATTACTCAATGAAACCTCAAAATGGAGACGTTGAAGCAGAAGATATATCGAGAATTTTAAATTCTTTAACATTTACAATCATCTATGTCAAAGGGCTACAGAAAAAAGATATTTTACATCAGTTTATACCACATATCCAAATAATTAACCTTGAAGACATCGGATGCCCTCGCTTATCGGAACTAACCACTGAAGAATCATATCCATCATGTTTATTTCATATGAATTTAAACCCTAAACACTGTACTTTTTATAAAATGTTTGCATTACGAAATTGGTTTGTAAACATCTCATAACCTTGTATATTATAATGTATTTTAATTTAACTTTATTTTTAATAAAAACAATTTATTTATTATAATTTAGTAGTCTATTTTTTTTTTTATTTACATTACGAATATAACATACATGTAAAGATATTATTTATATATATATATATTTATTATTATAAATTTGAACATTGTTATTGTTATAAAGTGGAAAAAAAAAGGGGAGGGAACATTAATAAATTTTATTTACATATTCTCACTACAACAATCAGAAGTGGGAGAGGTCATCTGCACAAATCCGAAGTGTATAGAGAATATATATATATATAACAAAACAAAAAATAAAATGGTAAAAAAAAAAAAGTGTATATGTACATATATAATAACACTTTATTTACAATAAAAAGGTTGAGGTTAGCTACAATATAATTCATTTTAATATTAAATCTATATTATTGACATTACAAGTATAACATACATGTACAGATATTAGTTAATTATACATATATTATATACATGTATTCACAAATTTAATCAATGTTATTGTTATAAAGTGGAAAAAAAAGGGGGGAGGGAATATTAATAAATTTTATTTACATATTCTCACTACAACAATCAGAAGTGGGAGAGGTTGTCTGCACAAAACTGAAGTGTATAGAGAATATATATAACAAAACAAAAATAAATAAAAGGGTGAAAAAAAATAACATTACTCATAAACTTAATAATAAATTGGAAATTATAGTTCTTCTTCTTCTTCTTCTTCATCTTCTTCTTCTTCTTCAGCCATCTCCCTATGTTTAAATAAATTGTTTATATTAGTAAATTTTGTTGTTTATATTAGTAAATTTTGTTTTAACAAACTAATGATTTTATAACTTACATTAGTTTATAATGTCCATAAGGTAAAGTATGTATACGGTCAGGTAATACAACTCTCTTGTCGTCATGTCGATTTAACGCTAGCTTGAGGGTTGAAATGGTTTTAATATTATGTTTATAAGAACGGAATGAGTTCATCGTACGGTATGGATTGAATGCAGCAGGATCTTTTCCATTGATACCTTGGAATAAACAATCCATATGATCCTCAAATGTCATATGGTTCTTTATTACATGGTAAGCAACGCCCTTAGCTTTAATATGTTCATGTCCAACCTGTATGTAACCATACGATTTTGGTTTTAGAGCCACTTGTTCCGAGATTATTTCACCTCCAGTCTCATCTAAAACATATTAGAATTATTATCTATATACAATAAAAAAAAGAAACTATTATATTGTATAACTAACCTGTGAAAGTTCCGGGAACTTTTTTTCTCTCGGTTCTATAACACGGATGAGATGGCGGGAAATTAGATGTATCCAATTTTTCCAGAAAACCTGGTTTGGTTAGCATGTCATGGTAAAAGTCATCTGTCTTAATTAAATACATTAGAGAATCTGAAAATATTAATAATAAATATATATAATAGTTCTTCAATAAAAAAAAAAATAATAGTATTACCTGTATCCATGTATAACAGTTCTATGTCACATCCATAGTATTTTTTCATTACATTGTAATGAAAATTATACATTAAAGTCTTGGAGATTTCCAAGACAGTAAATCCTACATAAATAGGCTTATCAAAAGTTAAAACTGCCTTGTGGAGGTGTACCGCATACAAGTTTTCATTGTATTGCGTTACACCCTTAAATGTAGGCTTGTTTATCAGTTTTTGAAAAGCTGCAGGACTGCAGACAAGAGACATCTTCATGCGATTGCGTACATTCTCCATGGTTTTACCTATTAAAATAATTAAGATGATATTATTTTTTAAAAAAATTATTTTTTTTAAATATAATTATATATATACACATTTACCAAAAACTGCGTTGTTCATGAGCTTAAAGAAATCCTTTTGGAAATCGTCGGTTGCTTTTTTCCTCATTTCCGTATTGAGTGAAATATAGCTAGCTAACCAAGGGCTTTGGTCAAATTGAAGTACCCTATGCACCTTTTTTAAAACAAGACCCTCCTTCAGAGCCTGCTTTAAAATTGAGTGGTGCACAATATACTTTTTTTTATCGTTTAACGTCAAGATTATTTTTTTTATCTTTGAACCAGGAGGGGTAATCTTCTCACACATAAACGGCAGATCTGAATGTTGATCATGAAGGGATTTCGGGTATTCGACATCAACCTCTAAAATCAACCCGTTTTCCGAATTGTCATCTATTCTGTCTAAACGGTTTTGAACAGATTGTACAGAAAGATTTCCTTCGTACCATTTGAAGTTACCAGTTGGTATCGTTTGCGACATTGCCCAACCATATCTGAAATAATTATATGAAAATTAAAAAAATAAACTATAAATACAGTTTTCACATTATTATTACTCACAGATTTGTTGCATTAAGATATGTTATCCATCTGTTTGGTTCTTCGGGATTGTATACGGGTGCCTTGCTGTGGTTAGCTTTAGAGTATCTCTTTGAAGCTTGACAGATTCCTCCTCTTACACCTAAATTAGATAACGAATGTTAGAGATGTAATATCAATGAAACTATAACTGTTATTACCTTGCTCGAACATAAGTAACATGTCATAGTCTGATATCAATTCCAACTTGGCTTCAGTGTATTTCAAACACACATCGAAACTCATACCAAGGTTAGTATAATAATGACAGCAATCGATTTCATATGTTTTTAAACAGAGCTCCCTAAAAGCTTTAAAAACATCACATAAAATATGTACATCCAATTCGTTATACCTGAAAAATATAAATAATTATCAGACTAAGATAGAATACTATTAAATATATCACATACCATAAGCTGTATTCGCCTAAAGTTTTGAATTTAAAACGATTCCATACATTTTGAGCGTGTTTATAATCATCTTGGGAAATATTTTTCTCAGTCAGTGAACTAAAAAAAAAATTGTTTTTAATTTATTTTATTATTATTATTATTTTTTTAATTAATATAATTATTATAATTCACCTGTAAAACTGTTCTATAGGCGGTAGACACTGTTCTTCCAATTTTTCCCATGAGTCCGTATAATCGTAACAGTAAACACCTTTACGAGTAACCATATCCAAATCATCTTCACCATATGCATTTATCACAGAACGGAACTTTGTCTTATCGGATCGAGCAAGGTTATTGGCTAATTTTTCCAAACTACTAGCCATAAAACGATAACTATCCAGAAAACGTATGGAAAACCTATTCGAAATATATTTTGAAAAAGATATAAATTTTTCTTCACTATTTGGAATAACGTTTATTGTATGCGGATCGTGCCCTATTCGTTTATTATTATATGGCTATCATAACTAGAGAGATTGTGCATGATGCAACTTACGAATTTCGAGGTTTGCATCTTTAAGTTACACCTATTACAGACAGTCTGTCTATAACTACCGCTTAAATGATGGTGATCACGTACCGGATTATTTGTTAATGAAAATTTACATTTACAAAGAGGACATTTACCCCCGTTCACGATAGACTTATGGTTACTTTCATTCTGTGATGTCATACATATAGGAGTGTTGATTTTTAAAAGCTGTTCAATTTTACGTGCCACATCAGTAATGCTCTGTATAAAATGCTTTGGTACATCGTTAGCCTCAAAATTTGCATTACCTCTGTATACAACCGGGGATTGCGGTATGTCGAATTGATCCATTAGCTCTGTTGGTACATCCTCGCTAGCTTTAACTAAATAACAATAACTCATGGGAACATGTTCTTGAGTGACAGTTGTTTTCCCAAAATGGTTGTCCCCTACAGGTTTCTTCAATAAACACTCGAAATCAGCGTAAATGACAAAATCGAGTTTTTGGGTGTTACCCCAGTTCTCAAACTGCATGTACGTATTTGGCGGTGGTAGAATTGGAGTTACTGACTCGTTCTTGACGCATATTCGTTTATGATCTTCAAGTCTAGCTTCTTTATCAATTTTACCGGTTCATCGATGTACACCTTAAAACGGCGTCTGCAGATGGCTTTTTCCTTGGTGTTTTTAGACAGTTGACATCCAACCAATCTTGCAAGATTCTTGATATAACAGTAGTGGTATACTCCCTCTCCGTTGTTGAAATATAATAAATCGTAATGATCGGTTTGTTCACGGTCACACACCTTGTATGGGATAATAATGAATTCATCTTTTTCTGCATTTTGAGACGTCTGGCCGTTGTTATTCTTAGATTTATTTTTATATGTTAAACTCCCCTTCTTGAAGCCGTACACGTTTATCGATACCCCTGGATTATTTTTTTCAAAATGTTTCACCTCAGATAATGGCACAGGGAATGTAATTCCCGAGAAATTGTGTCTGCTTGGTACATTCTGATAATGTGTGATACGGCTGGGGTTTGGTGCAGTAACGTCCTTGGCCATAATGCTGTATTTGAAGCACATATTGTCATTATTTTGTACGTTTATTGTTGCTTTACGATTTTCAATTGTCTCCGGAAGCGGTATAAAAGCTGAACCTCCAAGGGGTGTATATTTAAATACATCAAGTAGTATACCATCAATTTTCTCTAAAGAAAACCCGGATCCTTTCCCCTCCATCTCAGCCTCTTCAGAAATTATCTTAGCAAAGTCCTCGTCTATTGCCGATTCAATGTTCGTGTCTTGGAATAGAGTTCTTGCTGATGACTTGAATGCTCTATTTTCCAAAACATCTGTAGAAGGGATTTTATACGTCGATTCCAGTTTTAATGTATACTTCACCGCATTTTCGGCTACAAGTGTTCTTAATAATTCGAATAGTTGCGGTTTGGTTTCAGCCAGGAAAGAGTCATAATCAGCTAACTGATTAAAATTTCTTTTGTAGAAAGTTTTACAAAGCCCGTTGAACCCACTGCTAGTTAATACAAATCCATCTACTTGAGTAGCTGCTAGTCGATGACGTTTCAATCGGGTGTTAGATTGGTTGACGTTGTCTCTTTGTCGTTTACCTACACCTAATAATAAAATAATATTCCCTACTTAATATAATACGTTTACTATAATTTTCTAATCAAATTAAATAAAAACTAAAAAAAATATCGGGCGTTGAAGATAGGCAATTTTTATGTAAATATTTTATCGTTTAAAAATAATTTCAGCTAAATTAAATCGGCCGTAGAATGTAAAAGATTTTTAGATAATTATTATAACGTTTAAAAATTGTAATTTACTTCGCAGAATTATATTTTATTAACACGAAAAATATTTATACATTTAGTTAAATAGTATCGGAGTTAAATTAAAAAAAATTTAAAAAAAAACGATTGTAGACGGTGAACGATTTTTATATAAATTAGTTTATCTTAAAAAAAATAAAAAAATATTTATACATTTAATCGTTAATCACGTTAAAAATAATGTTTTTGATAATAAATTTAAAAAAAATATTTATACATTTAATGGTTAATCACGTTAAAAATAATGTTTTTGATAATAAATTTATCCAAGTTGTAATACTAACTAATCAATCGATTAGATATAATTCCTATATATTATTATCTAAATTTTTAATCTAACCCTAGACTATCGTTTCACTTGTAAAACTATAATAAAACTAATAAAAACAGGCGTTGAAGATAGGCAATTTTTTTAGTTAATCGTTTAAAAATTAATTCCAGAGTTAAATTAAAAATTGGTTTTACTAATAATTTAACCAAGTTGTAATAATATCTATTTAAACGATTAGGTTTATTTCTAATATATTATTAACTAAATTTTAATCTAACCATATCCTATCGTTTCACTTGTAAAAATTTATATTATTGACTAACCTGATCCACTTGCCGAGTTTGATTGCATATGTTCGGGGGTATGTATGTAGTCCGGTAAATTTGCCGATGTTGATGGAATATTATCATACGCTTGATTACATAATTCATCACCTTCACTATCGAAGAAGCTTTCATGTGATGTGCCCCTTTGTCCTAAAAAAAAAAAAAGGTATTTAATAATATTTACTATTTTACAAAAAAAATGTTTATACTAACCTAATGTCTGGATGTTGGATGTGTGTTGTATAACGCTAGTACGTTGCTGTATACGCTCGTGTCTTCCATCCTGACCAGCTCCGGCTGTGTGAAAATATATATTTATTTAATTAAATCACTAAATTTTTTTAAATTAAAAAAAATGTATCTTATTTTAAGTAATTCACATACCGTGCTTCCTTTTGCAGTGTCGAGTAAGATTTAATTTACTTTCACAATCATATTCACATTCACCGCAGTAAAATCGAACACCATCATGAGTTTTAAGATGACGGTTTAAATTATGCTTTAAAGAGTACACCTTTTTACAAATATTACACTGATACATGATTAAAAATTTAATATGATCAATATAATATTAATAATATAATAATAATTGATTAATAATAATAATATATTATGTTAAATGCGTAAAAAAAAATGAATTGCGTTATAAAGTTAGTAAGCAATATCTTATATAAGCGTTAATATATTGTATGCGTTAGTATGTTAAATTTATGCGAAAGCGAAAATATATTTAAAATTAGCAATAATAATAATATCAATATGATAATTTGTTTTTAAAAAAACACAAAACCGATAATATTAAAATTAAACACTGAAAAATAAATGTAATATTTTAACGGAGTGAAAACTTAGATGCACTTGTTAACGTTTTCGCTGTAGAACCAAATCTGACGTTATTAGAAATATTGGTTCACTAGCATGGTCTA